CCGCATCTCCCTCATTTGTTGACACCTCGTGTTGCTTGACGTTCTCCTGCATCGTCGAAGTTAAGTTGGTGCTTGTAACGCTTCGACTTCTAGTAGAATCGCCTCCAATGCATGTGCCGTAGGGTCGCTAGTGAACGAGTACTTGCCGGATTAGAGGTTAATCACTCCTCAATCTGTCAAGCATCGTGACGTGCACGGAATTTTCTTCCACGCAGGTCATTAACACCTGGAATCGCGACGCATGATTGGTGTGTCGCCTCGTGAGGTTGATGTTGAGACTGCTCCAATCAATCACTTCGGATGGCTGAGATTCTTGATGAAGACGAATCGGTCAGCTCCTGTTAAGAAGTAGTGTCTCGCTGGCCTTGACGAGACGGGTTCACTGCGTCGTCGTTGCGTGCGAAATCTGCTCTTTCGCAGCAACTTGAACTTGGGAGCATTGCAAGAGAAAACGGCTACTTCTCTGCAATCCCATAGCTTGTCGATCAATTTGTCTGAAGAAGTGACTCATGGATGGAGAACATGTCTTCACGCAGCTCCATTTTTTTCCTAGTTGAAGATCCGTTGTGTTGATGTCGATCCATTTTTAACGAAGATGACTTCGTCAAAATAAATCAATCGTTGTCGACACTAGTCAGAAGATGCGTCGATTGTGCAGTCGCTGGTCACGAATATTGTCTCCATTGTGATGTTTTCCCATAGTGTAGTCTCCGCTGCATTCGTGCCGTTGATTCCGCACCGATCCGACGATCCACGTTCTCCTGTCATTTTTCTGCATGCAGATATTACCAAGTAGGTAATACTCGGGCAGATTTCTGACTCTGCAGATGATTTGCGCACCATATTCGTCACCAAATGGAGGAATCCGAATTTGGTTGTCCAAATGTTGTCGACGGTGTCGAAGGCGGCTTATGTTTTGTTCTGCGCGTTATTCTCCCTTCGTGCAGAAGTCGCGCTCCATCTCGTCTGTTGAAGTAGAAGTCGATCCGACGGTCCAAACTCCAAGCGATCTGAGGAACCTCCTGAGTAACGTTCAGCAGCTTTCGGTGCACGGGTTGACTCGTTTCCTGCAGCAATTCTCGGTCGTCGATGTCGGCTGTCGAACGATCGGACGCTCTGAAGAACTTCGCGGCTTGCCAGGTCCCGTTCCCATTCGCGCCGAAACGCAAACTCGCTCAGATGGATTTCGTTTTCGCCTCGGTCGATCTGAAGCGTCGAATCTCCATCGGACGGATGTCGTCGGTCGAACCTCCGCAGAGTTCCGCGCATCTCCAAGTGTTGTCGCGAACTGCGAACTTCTCCGAATGTCGCAGGGAGTGTTCCGCCGGGACTGACGCGCTCGCCAGGTCGAGGCCGTTTGCCCCCGCGAAAAAATCGGCTCCGTCGATGCAGTCCATCGAACGGTTGGCGAGGCATCTCGCCTTCGAAGGGGACCCCAGGTGCAACTGCGAGAGTGAGTCGAAACTTAAATGAAAGTGCATTGTACTTACAGGAATAGAAGTTTCGACTCCATCCTCGGCGTGCTCCTGGGGGCCCAGCTGTTAAGCGTTGAGCTGAAACCTTGGCTCTGATAACCAAGTGTCACAGGATCAAATGTGTCGAGGAAAGGTTTGCTCAATGTTCCACTATCAATCAGTACAAGGTGCTTTTATACTTCCATAGTACATCAGGTAACCAGGTTTATCCTATCCAAAGGAAATAGACCCTTCTAGAAATAGAATCACCCTGCGTATAGCCACGCGAGGCTATTGGCTATAAGGGATTACTGCAGGATTACGCTAGATATAGCGCGCCAGTACATCCCGAGCTTGGTCGGTGATATAATTATAATAACAGGATAAACCAAAGGATAATGGAAAAGGAGGAATAGGAAACCAAATGAACGAGGATAAAAAGAGGAATGAAATAGAGAGGAAATATGAAAAGGGGAAATTGGTGTAACGGGGTCGTACTCTCACACCGAAGATGACTACTCTTCGGGCGCTGCTACACGTAGCAGCACAGCGTGACTACGAGCTTCACTCCCTCGACTTCTCCACTGCATTCCTTAGGGCAGCCTACACGAGCAGGTCTACCTGTGCCGCCCTCAGGGCTTCACCGGTACTTTCCCTCCTAGGACCCAGTGGCTCCTCCGGCGCCCCGTCTACGGCTTGCGATAGGTGGCCCCGTAAGTGGCACGACACGTTGTGACACGCTGCGTGCCATGCTAGCTGACCTGTTGTTCTTTCCGTCCTCTGCTGAACTTTCACTCTTTGTTCATGCTGGCCAGACTCCGTTCTACATCCTTGTCTACGTAGACGACCTGGTCTTCGCTACTGCAGACAGAGACGCAGTGGCCTCCGTGAAGGCTGAGCTGCTAATAGACACTCCTGCACTGACCTGGGAGAGCTGCGCCGCTACCTTGGTCTGCAGATCTCCAGGGACCGAGCAGTGCGCACCATCACTCTTACACAGTCACACTTGGTGCTTCAGGTCCCTCAGAGGTTCGGTCTTCAGTTCAGTCACACTTGGGTTGCCTCATGTACCTGATGACTTGCACTCGTCCAGATCTCGCATACCCTTTCAGCATCCTGGCCCGCTTCGTGGCCACAGGCAGAAACCGACCACAGCAGTGGTCGGCCGCTAAGAGGGTCTTGCGTTATCTTGCGAGTACATTGGGCATGGGGCTAGTGCTCGGAGGACGCAGGCCAGTGGTCCTTACTGGGCACACAGACGCTTCTTGGGCAGACGACACTGAGACCCTCAGGTCCTCCGAGGGCTAGTGCTTTAGCCTTGGTTCGGGTGCCATCTCGTGGAGGTCCACTCGCTCCTTGTCTGTTGCCGAGTCTAGCTGTGAGGCCGAGATCTGTGTCAGGAGCCTCGACTTGAGGGCAGAGTGAAGCACATCCAGCTGCGGTACTTCCTCCAGTGCGAGCTCCAGCAGCATCGCCAGGCCCGCGTAGTACACTTGGCCTCCGGTGCCAACACAGCTGATATCTTTACTAAGGTGCTTCCGCCTCAAGATCATCAGCGGCATTGCTTGCAGCTAGGTGTAGTCCTTTTAGACTCTCACTTGCTCGGCCCTTGATTGTGTACTCCTTTATATTTATGTCTTCCAGACTGGCCTTGTGGCTTTTCTAGTGGTCGGACTAGTAGAGGCTGAGGCTGAGGCGGGGTGGAATAGCATGTGATGATTGCATCTGGCGTTTGCTATAGCGGTAAAGCGGGGACGCTCAGACAGGGGGAGGGTGTAACTAATGGCAAGCTATGCAACGACGTCGTGCGACTCCCAGACAGCTCAAGCAAGCTCAGCAGCGACAAACGCCTCACACTCAGCAGGCGTGGGGGCAGCAGGGAGGGCAGCAGGCGGGGCGGGGCGAGGGAGTTACAGTGGCGGAAACAATTGTCCACATGTTTAGCATGTGGACATATTTTGACAAGCTGTATGCTATAAACATTAAGCCTTAATTCATGGTGGCCATGACTGCTCTAACTGCTCCTCTCTACATGTATGGCCACCATAAATAAAGGCTTAATGTTTATAGCGTACAGCTCGTCAAAATGTAAAAATATGCTAAACATGTGGACAATTGTTTCCGCCACTGTACGGTCGACATGGACGGTAAGGGAGTGGCCGTCCTGGCGCTGACCGGTCAGCTGGCGGCGGAGGTCGACGAGCCACGTCTTAAACTCAACGGCCAGCCCCTCCACTTCCAGGCGGAGCAGTGAGTCTGCCATCACCACAGCTGCAGCAGTTGACTGCCGCTGACAAGTGGAGGAGGGAAAGCGGAGGAGGGCGGTGGAGAGCGGTGGAGAGCAGTGGGGAATGGTGGAGTGCGGTGGAGTGCGGTGGAATGCGGTGGAGTGCGGTGGAGACTGCCGACGGGAGTGCCGGCTCAGAGGGGAAGCCAAGGCCGGCGGGTCAGCTCGGCTCAGTGTTGGGAAGGGTCGGGGCGGGCTGGGACCGGCGGAGCTGCGGCCGGCGGTGAGCGAGCGGCGGCTGGCGACGGGCGGGCGGCTACAGGGGGGCCAGCGGCTACGGGCGGGCTGGCGGCAACGGGCGGCCAGCGGCTACGGGCGGCTGGTGGCAGCGGGAGGCCAGCAGCGACGGGCGGCTGGCGGCAACGGGCGGCCAGCGGCTACGAGCGGGCTGGCGGCAATGGGCGGCCATCGGGCTACAGGCAGCTGGCGGCTACGGGCGGCTGGCGGCTACGGGCGGCCAGCGGCTACGGGCGGCGACGGGCAGCCAGCTGGCTACGGGCAGCTGGTGGCTACGGGCGGCGACAGGCGGCCAGCAGCTACGGACGGTGACAGATGGCCAGCTGGCTACGGGCAGCTGGTGGCTACGGGCGGCGGGCAGCTGGTTGCTAAGGGCCGCTGGTGGCGACGGGCGGCCAGCGGGCTGGCGGCTACGAGCGGCCAGCGGCGACAGGCGGCCAGCGGGCTACGGGCAGCTGGCGGCTACGGGCGGCAGCGACGGGCGGCGGGAAGCTGGCGGCTAAGGGTGGCTGGCGGCGACGGGCGGCCAGCGGGCTAACGGCTACGGGCGGCTGGCGGCTATGGGCGGCCAGCTGCGACAGGCGGCCAGCGGCTACGGGCAGCGACAGGCGGCCAGTGGGCTACGGGCAGCTGGCCGCTACGGGCGGCCAGTGGGCTGGCGGCTACGGGCGGCCAGCGACGACAGGCGGCCAGCGGGTTACGGACAGCTGGCGGCTACGGGCAGCAGCGACGGGCAGCGGGCAGTTGGCGGCTAAGGGTGGCTGGCGGCGACGGGCGGCCAGCGGCTACGGGCGGCTGGCAGCTACGGGTGACGGGCGGCACGCAGCTAGCAGCGGCGGCTAGCGACGGTCGGCTAGGAATGGGCGGCTAGCGACGGGCGACTCGGGCTAGGGCTGGGACTAGGGCGGAAGCGCGGGTGGGCGGGATCCTAACCTAGCGTGATACCATCTAAGAGTAGAAAGATTGACTATGAGCATGCACCTATCTAGCCTATAGCATATACAAAATATATGTTGACAGTATCCACTTTCTCTACCACAAGAAACCTTGTTTTGATTATCATATACAGCACAACTCCAGCAGTCCTCTACGCATAACCAGACAATCTCTTTCCCAACTGGCCCCAAAACCCACTGCTATCATACCATCAACCACAATGCAAGCCTAAGCACCAACACCAGCAGCGGCAGCAGTGGCAGAGGTGTCAGCAGTAGCACCCCCACTAGTGCCAATATCTGGCTCAGCAGCACGTACATCAACAGCACCACCAACAGCACCACCAGGACCAACAGAAACAGCAGCAAGTGGAGCTCCATCTCTAGGAGCAGCACCATCCTTCTGCCCCTCTTCACTCCCATCGCCACTTTTCTCGCCATTATCAGCCTCGTCGGACACCACGACCACCACCTCTTTCCTCTCCTCCCCCTCCCTCTCCTCCTTACCCACCCCCTCCTCCCCCTCGACCTTCTCCACCTCCGCCTCCTCTTCCACGGACACTGCTCGCACGAAGCGGGAGAGCGACTCGCGCGATGCGGCGTCCTTCTTGACGAGCTCGTCCATCCAGAAGGCGACCACGTCGATGTCGGGGCGGTGCCGGCGCTGCGGGGTCACGCACTCTGCAGCGATGCCGCAGAAAATCTCCATCAGGCTCGCAGGGTACGGCTCCAGCCGCTCGTCCACAATGTCGGTGAACTGGCCGTCCTTGATCTTTGGAAGGGCCTGAGAGGGAAAGGAGAGGGGGTGGCGGTAGCACGGAAAATGGGTGGTGGTTTGGTTGGGTGGGACGGAGAGGGATTATGTGCGAGGGAAAGTTTGTTTGAGGTGTCTCTGGCTGAATCTGAAAGTAGCTTCAGCGCACTCCACAGCGATGCCGCAGAAGATCTCCATCAGGCTCGCAGGGTCTCCACAGCCGCTCGTCCACAATGTCGGTGAACTGGCCGTCCTTGATCTTTGGAAGGGACTGGAATGGTCGCACGTGAGGGAGGTGGTGGTTTGCTGGGGGCGGAGAAGGTTTAAGCATGTGGAGAGGGTTGTTTTGAGGCGTCTCTGGTTGAATTTGGAAGCATCTGCCGTGTAACCAGCTTGAATGCGGCGCAACTAGGCATTGCAGTAAAGCCAGGTGTTACAGCGTAACTCACCCACTGCACGGGGGTGACTTTTGAGTCGACTCAAAAGTCACCTACAGGTGTTACAGGTGTTACAGCGCAACTCACCCATTGCACGAGGGTGACTTTTGAGTCGACTCAAAAGTCACCTACAGGTGTTACAGCGCAACTCACCCACTGCACGAGGGTGACAAATCGCTTGCCGGTGCGTGACCCCATGACAACGTCCTTCTCATCCACTATAGGCGGCTTCGCTGTGATCAGCTCCAGCAGCACCACTCCGAAACTGATAAGGAGATGGGGTGTATATAAGCGAGGGGCTCCTATGGAATATGAGTAGTCGTCTTCAACCTCACATCGAGAGTATTGCTGTAATCAACTCCAGGTGGTTGGTCGATGCCAGGCCGCTCAATGTGGATGCCTCCTACAATGGGAGTCAGCATAGTGAGGAAACTTAAAAAAGAAAAACAAGTGCTAAACTGCACCTACCACCCACACATGCGATCTCGGTCCCACCCCACCTGCACACATGAACACGGCCGACCTGCACACAAGAACACGGCCCACCTGCACACAAGAACACGGCCCACCTGCACACAAGAACACGGCCCACCTCACACAAGAACACGGCCCAACCTGCACACAAGAAGACGGCCAAACCTGCACACAAGAAGACGGCCCACCTGGACACAAGAAGACGGCCCACCTGCACACAAGAACACGGCCCACCTGCACACAAGAACACGGCCCACCTGCACACAAGAACACGGCCCACCTGCACACAAGAACACGGCCCACCTCACACAAGAACACGGCCCACCTCACACAAGAACACGGCCCAACCTGCACACAAGAAGACGGCCCACCTGCACACAAGAACACGGCCCACCTCACACAAGAACACGGCCCACCTCACACAAGAACAAGGCCCAACCTGCACACAAGAACACGGCCCACCTGCACACAAGAACACGGCCCACCTGCACACAAGAACACGGCCCACCTGCACACATGAACACGGCCCAACCTGTACACAAGAACACGGCCCACCTGTACACATCGCATTTGCTGGTGATGCGGAAGCTCTGGAAGTATTCGGGGTCCAGGTACCCTCGCTTGCGCTGCATGCGCAGCCGCATCGCCTCCCCTGGCAGGTGCTTTAACACTCCCAGGCCCCCCAGCTTGACCTGCAGTCAGAGCACACAGGGAGTCACAGAATATCAAAGTAAGCAATCTGAGCTGGAGTCAGAGCGGCGCAGCCGCATCGCCTCGCCTGGCAGGTGCTTTAACACCCCCGGGCCGCCCTGCTTGACCTGCCGTTGAAAGTAGCAATGCGAGGGAGAGAGGGAGGCTGGTGATGCGAAAGCTCTGGGAGCATTCGGGATCGGGAATCAGTATTACGAATCCAGGGCTCAAAGGGGGGCAATGTATCCTAGCTCTCGATTGGAAGTACCCTTGCTTGCGCTGCGTGCGCAGCCGCATCGCCTCCCCAGGCAGATGCTTTAGCACGCCCAGCCCCCCAGCTTGTCCTGCAGCCAGTGCACAGAAAGTGTAACATAGTAATCATATGGGTTGGAGTCAGGCTACTGCCCCAGCCGCATGGCCTCTCTTGGCAGGTACCTCAGGACGCTCAGGCCTCCCAGCTTCAGGCTGCTGAGTCTGGTGCACACGTCAGCATAGCCTCTAGGGAATACAGCCATCAAGGAGATAATGAGTCGACCTAAAAGGAGGGCACAGTGTACCTTGAAGTCGTTGTCCAGCAGAACCGTATCGGATTTGATATCGCGGTGCAGCACGGGCGGCGTCTTGCAGTGCAGGTACTTGATCGCCCGTGCCACCTCCGCTCCAATGTCCAGCCGCTGGGCGAATGTCAGGGGGGGCTTGGACACTGGGTGAGGAGAAGTGAGAGGGAGGAGTGGGGCATGAGTGGGTGGCATGGGGTGTGTTGAGGAACACGCAGGAGATTGCAGCCATGAACTCAGACCATTGCAGGCATACAAGCATGCATACATCCAGAGACAAGCATGCATACATCCAGAGACAAGCATGCATACATCCAGAGACACGCATGCATACATCCAGAGACAAGCATGCATACATCCAGAGACAAGCATGCATACATCCAGAGACACGCATGCATACATCCAGAGACAAGCATGCATACATCCAGAGACAAGCATGCATACATCCAGAGACACGCATGCATACATCCAGAGACAAGCATGCATACATCCAGAGACAAGCATGCATACATCCAGAGACAAGCATGCATACATCCAGAGACATGCACGAAGCAGCCCGCCCTCAGAAGGGTACACGCGCCTTCTTCCCACATGCATAAAGCAGCTCACCATGAGGCGGCCGCAGCCAGTCCGCGAGGGAGCCGTTGGGGACGAACTCGAAGACGAGCACCTGCTCGCCGTTGTCGTCGCTGTACGCGAGGAGCGACACGATGCTCGCATGGTGGATGCCGCCCAGGAAGTCCACCTGAGGTAATGGGCAATAGGGGGAGAAGATGTGGGTTGAATCTGGTTGAGCGCGAAGACCAGCACCTGCTCGCCGTTGTCGTCGCTGTATGCCAGCAGGGAGACGATGTGCGCATGGTGGATGCCGGCTAGGAAGTCCACCTGAGAGACACATGAGCGCGGAGGAGCATCACGGGGGGATGGCGCGGAAGGGGGTTGCTTTGCGGTCGTCGCTGTATGGCAGGAGGGAGACAATGCGCCCATGGTGGATGCCGCGTAGAAAGTCCGCCTGAGGGCCGTCATGGGGAGACAAGAGGGAGCCAGAAGGAGCCAGAAGGAGCCAGAAGGAGCCAGAAGGAGCCAGGAGGAGCCAGGAGGAGCCAGGAGGAGCCAGGAGGAGCCAGGAGGAGCCAGAAGGAGCCAGAAGGAGCCAGAAGGAGCCAGAAGGAGCCAGAAGGAGCCAGAAGGAGCCAGAAGGGGCCAGAAGGAGCCAGAAGGAGCCAGAAGGAGCCAGAAGGAGCCAGAAGGGGCCAGAAGGAGCCAGAAGGAGCCAGAAGGAGCCAGAAGCTCAGCCCACCTGGTTGCGTCCATCCGAACCGTAGCCCACCTGGTTGCGGAACAGGTGCTGCCCCTCCACCGACACGCGCTTGGCACGCTTCACAGCCAGCTCCTCTCCATTGCGCCCCACCGCTCTGAACACCGCCGAGTGCCCTGCGTCCTCGATAGTGCGCTCCTCGCTAAAGCCCTCAGTGGCCGCCTCCACCTCCTCCCAGGTCCACTGCTCTACCGCCGGGTGCTTTCCCCCTCCGCCCCCCACCTCCCCCTCCTCCTCGTCGTCGCTGTCGCTGTGTATGCCCGTCGCCTTGCCGTCCAAAGGGGTAGTTCGGACCGCTGGGTGGGAGGAGGGAAGGGGAGGGGAGGGGAGGGGAGGGGAGGGGAGGGGAGGGGAGGGGAGGGGAGGGGAGGAGAGGGGACAAAAGAATGGCAGTGGGATGTGGTGCCCATGGGATGTGGTGGTGCCCATGGGATGTGGTGGTGCCCAGGGGATGTGGTGGTGCCCATGGGATGTGGTGGTGCCCATGGGATGTGGTCGAGCCCATGGGATGTGGTCGAGCCCATGGGATGTGGTGGTGCCCATGGGATGTGGTTGCTTATGTCGAGAGAGGTGTCAAGAGGCAAGAGGGAACGCTGAACGCACGGAGAACGGAACCACTTCAACACAGCAACACGGTTACATGGAGGGTAGGACAGGGGTGACTTTTGAGTCGACTCAAAAGTCACCGACAGGGGTGGCCAGAGGACTGACCGCGCCGTCTTGTGGCGCAGTAGACTACAACGAGGATGACGAGGACGAGGAAGAGCACGGCCGTCGTGATGATGAGAACGATGAGACCGTCCGCTGGGCGCACGGGGCGAGCAGGGGGGAGCAGGGTAGGGAGAAGGGGAGAGAATGGGGGAGAGAAGGGGGGAGTGAGGTAAGGGGTGAGGGGAGGAATATGCAGGAAAAAGAGAGATTGAGGGAAGGAGAGGGTCGGATGATGAGATGGGTTGATGGTAAGAGCAAACGAGAGAGAGGGCCGGACGGAAATGCAGGGCGGTTGAGAGTGGCGAGAGCGGAGAGAAAGGAGGGGAGGGGAAGAGACGGAGCAGACCGGCGCAGAGGAGGGCAGAGGAGGGCAGAGGAGGGCAGAGGAGGGCAGAGGAGAGCAGAGGAGGGCAGAGGAGGGCACAGGAGATCAGAGGAGGGCAGAGGAGGGCAGAGGAGAGCAGAGGAGAGCAGAGGAGGGCAGAGGAGAGCAGAGGAGGGCAGAGGAGGGCAGAGGAGGGCAGAGGAAGGCAGAGGATCGGAGGGTAGGAGAGAGGAGGGGAGTGGAGGGGAGTGGAAGGGAGTGGAGGGGAGCGGAGGGTCGCGAGGGCTCACGAAGGGGGATCTGATCCAGCATTCGGCGCGGTGGTCTGGCCCGCCCTGCAGCAACATGGGAGCGGATGGGGGGAGTCAGCAGAGGGGGAAGTCAGCAGAGGGGGGAGTCAGCAGAGGGGGGGAGTCAGCAGAGGGGGGAGTCAGCAGAGGAGGGGGGTCAGCAGAGGGGGGGGTCAGCCGAGGGGGGAGTCAGCAAAGGGGGGAGTCAGCCGAGGGGGAGAGTCGGCAGGGGGGGGGGGTCATGGAAGAGTAGGGGTGAACGGAGTGCGTCGATGGGAAAGAAGTTGGCGAAAGAGGGCGTTGAAGGTGCAGAGAGAGGATCTTGGCGAGACGGAGGAAGTCGCCCTGAAAAGTGGGCAAAAATGGAGGTGGAAGAAAAGTGCACACGAGGTTCCATGGCTGTAGCGCGGTGCGATGAAGAAAAGTGCACGCCAAGGCTCTAGCTTCATGGCTCATCGGCGTGCGAGGCGAGGGCGTGGGGGCAGGTGGGCAGCGATAGGGCGAGCAGGAGGGTCGACAGCGGCACGGCACCTTGGGGCCACTGCCACTGCCGCAGCCACTGCCACTGCCGCTGCCGCTGCCGCTGCCGCCTAGTCATCGCCGTCATGCCGTCAGCCGTCACCGCCGGCTGCTCCTTGCTGATTCGTTGATTCGGCAGCTTCGGCTGTTTGAGTTGTTCGGCTGCTGGGGTGTTTCGGCTCCTATTAGCGGATGCAGGGCGGTACTGTGCGATTCGACGCGGTCTCTCTCACTCTCACAGGGGTTTCACGGTGCACACTCGTCCGCTTTTCTGTCCTTTCGTTACTCCTACTAGGAAGTACCGTTGAGCCCCCCGTACAGCGCCAGCCGTACTGTGTTCACCCCGCCAGTCTATGCCGCGTCAGCATCAGCATCAGCATCCAGACAATTTTGAACGTATTTCGGTGAACTATTGTCGGTGGAGGTGTATTGCGGTGTAATGCCGTGTAGGCAGAATTCACTTGGGTAAGAGGAACGTCAACGAAGTGCGTATTCGAAAGGAAGGCCGCTTATTCCTCTCATGGAGGCTCTTCCAAGATTCCTAATGCAAGTGCATGTGCGGATTACGGCTCTTGGTAAAGTGCTTCTAGAGCAATGGAAATCGTTCACTAGTTTTGTGGACTACTGACTGTCTGTGACAGCTTGCACGGCTGTGCGAAAACGTTGCAGTAGCACTTTGATTGCTAGTAGGACTGGGCACTCATGCTCTTGCTTGGGAGAGCCACTATCAAGGGGAAGTCAAGCGGTGGGCGCGGAACGAAAGCTCTTCCCTGGGGGAGAGCCACAGTCTATCATGGAGAATTCAAGCGGGAGGGGCCCGTCCGCCCGTCAGCCGCACCTAATCGTCCTTCCGCGCTAACTTCCTGCTGGGGAGAGTTCAATAAGTTACCGAGAGTTCTCAGAACTTCAGCCCAGCTGGCACAGTCGGGTACCCGTCACAACGACCGCGTGAAGCCGGCGCAGATGCGAATCTACGGCTGGCAGTGAGCGTCAAACGGGGCGTCCAGTGAGCCCACCGGAGTTGGCACAAGGCCCAACGCGCTGCCTCGGCGCGCTTCTTCCCCTTTAGGGTCGGCTCACAGGAAACGCGTTACCCGAGCGTGGGAGGTCAAACGGTAGACCCCGTGGCCCTCGCGTAGCTGGACTGCTATACTGCGAATATAAATAAATAATAGCAGGGGGACTCATATAATGCGACGCGCTAACGTCTTGTGGCAAGTCGGAGGAGTATGAACTATCTACGGGGAGGGAATTGAGAGAGACGAGGGCGCGGGGGAGTTTGATCGGGTTAGTGAGAGTAGGCAGCTAGTGGGCAATGGAGACTAACGTGCGTTCAGTCGAAGAAACCAGGCGCTCGGTCGCTATGTGCTTGACTGTCAAGGGGGATCTGTGTCGGAAAAGAGATTAGAACCAATAAGACTGGCCGCATGCGAGCGGTTGAGGAGAGATAATTTGGTCAGTCCCTCCCTGCCAGCCTCGTCCTCCGATTTCGTGAAGAAAGGCGCAAGAGCCTCCCAGCGCCACTTTTCGTACGCCGTGCGAAACTGCAACGCAAATTCAGGTGGCGGTAGGGGCGCAGCTTTCACTCCCTTGCGCGCTAGATGCAGGTTTTGGATTGGGCGCACATTTTACTCTCTTGCGCGCTTGGTGCAGGTGGGAGTGGGAGCGCCAGCCGGGCATTGGAATGAACGGCGGACATTGGGATTGCCCGTAGCGCACATTGCGGCAGGGTGAACTGGTAGGGAACGCGTTTAGAGATTTGGGGCAGAAATTCGGGCGTTTCGATAACTTAGTAGTCGTCCGATTTCAAGATCGAACGGCTCTAATGCTTCGAAATCGGCTACATCGGCTTGCCCGAGGAACGCGATTGCGGAGGATTTACCCCGCTACACTGTGACACCAATCCAATCACATTGAGGAAAAAATCGAGTGAATAACAGAACAAAACTAGTAAATTGGCACTTTAAGAGAGGAATGTCATCAAGTTCCACTTCAGGTGGTCTAGACCCAGCCTAATCAAAATTGAGGCAGAGGCAGACTCTGCAGGACCCAAGGCGTAGGTACGGGAGACACAAGCACAGAGGCAAGTAGGTAGCAAACCATATTGGCCCAGGCAGGCCCAGAACGGAGAGCCCATCCGAACCTCGGGAGGGCCCAGAGACAAGGCCCTGTAAAAGCCATGGGGTACATGGCTTTACAAGGCTCGTCCCCAAGCCTATGCCTAGAAGGAAGAGACATTGCCTGTGCTCTAGCACCCTCCGCCCAAAAGCCCAGGAACAAGACCCAGGCAGATCTGCCTACCCCAATTCCATGCTGCCCTTAGTTCTGGTTAGAAACGAAGTGGCTAAGGATGGAAGCTGGCGGCATGCTTGACACATGCAAGAGTGAGGGAATGGCAAGAGAAGGTGAGAGGGGGGGGGGCTGGGTGAGAGAAGAGGGGAAAGGGGGGTGGGAAAAGGCAGGTCGCAACGAAGTCCAGACAAAGACCCCAAAGCCCTCTCTACCAAGGCTACTGCTGCTTCTTCTGACCCTTGCTTGAGCCGCAGAGACCCCAGCCCAGACTTGACACCCCAAACCGGGTCAGTTCTGAGATGCCCCAACCGGGTGGTCCCTTGACCAGGACTTGAGCCGCCTGCCGGGCGTCAGCTGCATGGCGCAGCAGCAGACGTCTCCAGCAACACCTTCACTGCATGACCCGTAGACTGCAGAGATATCGGCGAATGAGAGGCGGTGTGGACTCCATTTAAGAGCCCCCTCTTGAAGCACCTTCCTACAGCTCCCACAGCAGCAAGGCAGGGTCAACTCGCTGCCTTCACAAGAGCATCAGTGGGGGCTGCTGCCCTCACAAGAGGACTGCTGCCCTCACAAGAGCATTAGTGGGGGCGGTGGCAGCGGCAGCAGCAGCAGCAGCAGCGGTGGTAGCAAGCTGGAGAACAACGATCATACTCCCAACAGAAACGTCCACTACAGAGAAACCTGAGAAACCTCGCACAGTGTACTAGTGATGCCATACTCCGATCCAATACGTCCACTCAAGCGGCACAGCCCACCATCCCCTCCCCTTCCCCCCAAGCCCACTCCTTGGGTCGCGAGGGCAGGTGGCAGACTGCACACCCACCTAGTCCCACGCACTAGGAGGTGCACTGTTGTAACCACCGCCACCGCCGCCGTAACCGCCGCCACCATATCCCCCTCCGCCCCCACCGTACCCACCTCCATACCCTCCTCCTCCACCATACCCCCCGCCTCCGTACCCCCCTCCCCCATACCCCCCTCCGCCTCCCCCTCCCCCTCGCTCCTTCCTGAAATCCCTCCCTCCAAACCGGTTCCCCCCGCCGCCTCGTCTGCTCTTACCCCCGCCATACCCTGACCGCGACGCAAAGTTCTGCAGCCACCCGGGCACCTCCTGGTTCGCCTCCGCCATGAGCTCGATCAGCGACCGCGCCAGGTTCGTGTCCTTGTCGCAGAAGAACGCCGTTGCCAGCCCCGTCTTGCCCGCGCGGCCCGTACGCCCGATACGGTGCACGTAGTCGTCGATGTCCGAGGGCAGGTCGTAGTTGATGACGTGGCTCACGTGCGGGATGTCGAGGCCGCGAGCCGCCACGTCGGTGGCAACAAGGATGGGTGTGCGGCCCGAGCGGAACGAGCGTAGCGCGGACTCGCGCTCCTGCTGCGAGCGGTCGCCGTGGATGGACGTGGCAGGGAAGCCGTTGCGGCACAGCCAGTCCTCCAGGGAGTCGGCTCCCTTCTTGGTCTCCACAAACACCAGGGTCAGCCCGCCCTGTGGAGGCAGGGGGGAGGGGGGTGAGTGGGAGGAGGAAGGATGAGCACCCTAAACCCTAGACCCTCAATAAATTCCATGGGCACCAAAAAAATCCGTGTCACTTCCCCATTGCTCCCTCCCCTTAGTAGCACTGGCCGGGTTGCCCAAAGCGCCATACGTTGAATGGTGCGCGTGAACGAGGTCTGGTCCATCAGGGCCGACTGCTTGTCGTCGTTGCTGAACCCCCCTCAGGCACGCTCCCCACGCGTTGCTCAACGGCGCCCCAATGGCCCGAAACTCCGCCGAGAACATGAGCGTCAGCCCACTCAAACTCACCCCTCCCCCTCCCCCCCTCTCCCCCCCCCCAACACACACTCCAAACCAAAGCACCCACCACATTCCCGGACACCCCATTGGACGACCCCATTGGACGACCCCATTGGAGGTGTGGTGTGCGTGTATCAGGTGCATGGGCACGGAGCCCGTATCATGCCCTCGAACGTACTCCACGCGCTGCTGAATCAAATCCGTGGACCACCCTGCCCTTGCCCCTTGCCCCTCGCCCCTTGCCCCAACCCCGTTGCCCATTGCCCCTACCCCCTTGGCTCTCTGTCCCCCCAAGCACTCACCGCATTCCCAGAAGCGCCGTTGGAGGTATGGTGCGCGTGGATAAGATCCATCAGCACGGACCGCTTGTCGTGCTCGGGCACGTACTCCACGCGCTGCTGAATGAGGTCCGTGGACGACCCCACGCGCCCCACCGTGAGGAACACGTAGTTGGCGAGGAAGTCCGCGGCGAGGCGCTGGATCTCCTTGGGGAAGGTGGCGGAAAACATGAGCGTCTGGCGCTGCCCCGCGGGCGGCATGCCCTCCTGCTCCACAATGCGCCGGATCTGCGGCTCAAAGCCCATGTCCAGCATGCGGTCCGCTTCATCCAAGGCGAGGTAGCGCACCATGGTGATGGAGACTTTGCCACGCTCCAGCATGTCGCACAGCCTGTGGGTGAAGGAGGGAGGGTTGGACGGGAGGAGAGAGGGTTGCAGCAGGCATGCCCTCCTGCTCCACAACGTGCCGGATCTATGGCTCAAAGCCCATGTCCAGCATGCGGTCCGCTTCATCCAGCGAGGTAGCGCACCATGGTGATGGACACCTTGCCCCTCCCCAGCATGTTGCACAGCCTGTAGGTGCCAGGAGGCAGGGGTAAGAGAGGTCGGGGTGCAGGGTGCAAGGGAAGAAGGCTGCTCTCAGGGGTCCAGCATGCGGTCGGTCCGCTTCGTCCAGAGCGAGGTAGCGCACGACGGTGATTGACAACTTGCCCCGCTCCAGCATGTCGCACAGCCTGCGGGGTTGAGGGAGGAGTGGGGCCGCGCAGGGCACGTCAGGGGGCAGGGTTTAGCGGGTGTGAGAAGAGAGGGCCCTCGTGCGGCTCACAGCGCACACAGCAGAGGACGAAATAGCGGAATAGGGAATAACAACACGGCTGTAGTAGGGAAGCAGCGGAGGCATGTGAAGAGGACAGGAGAGATGCAGGCACGCCGGGCAACAGCTCGCAGACATGCAAAGCGGCTTTTGAGTCGACTCAAGAGAGGACGGGAGAGATGCAGGCACGCAGGGCAGCAGATAGGCAGACGTGCAAATCGCCAGAGAGGGAGAGGGAGGGGGGGGAGGAAGTACCTTCCAGGCGTGGCAACGAGAATCTCAACCCCCCTCTCCAGCTCCCGCATCTGAGCACACACGTGCAGGGCACACGCACACACGTGCAGGACACACGCACACACGTGCAGGGCACACGCACACACGTGCAGGGCACACGCACACACGTCCAGGACACACGCACACACGTCCAGGACACACGCACACACGTGCAGGACACATGCACACACGTCCAGGACACACGCACACGCACACCCAGAGACACACGCACATACACACATCAAACGAACACGCCAAGCATACCAACATACATGCCGTGCACAACACAGGTGCATGTGGCACAGTGAAACACACAGTGAAACATGGGAAACACACACGCGAGTGGTGAGAGAGGAATGGGAAGACATCGACTGCAGCTAAGAAGAATAGACGCGCGGCCGCAATGGCAGATACTGTGGCTGCGAGAGGAAACGGCAGGGCCCGAAACAGCAACTAGTGTTTTTCTCCTTCCAGTTGCTTTTACCCGCACAAAACCCGCCTCCAGTTGCCTTACTCATATCTTCTATTCCTTGGTTTTCGTCTTACATCCATTGTACACTCGCTAAGTGCACCGCCTAAGTGTCACGATGCCTCGCTGCATTACCTGCCAGCATGCATTCCACTCGGCAAAAAAGGTTACCTGCTAGCCGGCAGTCAAACGACATGATTACCTGCTGGCCGGCAGGGGCGCCACCATAGACGACGACAGCGCGCAGGCCGGTCTTGTAGGCGAACTTGCAGGCCTCGGCGTGAATCTGCGGGCGGGGGGGGGGTTGTGGGGGGAGGAGGGGAGGGGGGAATGCGGCGGGAATGCGGGGGGAGAGAGGCGGGATTTGCTGTCTGATTAGCGCATGGTGCTCCGTCTAATCAATCTCTACATGGCTCCTCGCGTAACCATCTAGTCTCAGAAAGCTTTGAAAGGAGCGTCCACCCGGCCTCTCACCTGGCTGGTGAGCTCGCGCGTGGGGGACAGAATAAGCGCCAAGCGGAACGAGTCAGCCAACTAGACAACTAGACAGCCACCTGGCGTCCCACCTGCCCCGTCGCTCCGCCAGCCGGCCTCTCACCTGGCTGGTCAGCTCGCGCGTGGGGGAGAGGATCAGCGCGAGCGGGAACGCCTTGCGGCCGAAGCGGGGGCGGTCGGGCGGCGGCCCGGAGGCGAGGATGCCGGAGATTATGGGGAGACAGAAGGCGGCGGTCTTGCCGGAGCCCGTCTGCGCGCACGCCATGAGGTCGCGGCCCGCCAGCGAGATAGGGATGGCGTGCCGCTGCACGGGCGTGGGGTTGGAGTAGTTGCAGCGCCGCACGTTCTCCATCACCGCCGGCTGCGGGTGCGGGGAAAGAGCGAAAGAGATGAAAGCAAAAAGAGATGAAGATTCTGCACCCTGGGAATTAAGCTGCAGCGCCGCACGTTCTCCATCAGGATGAGGGGGAGCAGCAAAATAAGAGGAAGTGTTAAGCAAAAATGGAAAAAAAAGGAATCGGTTGTTGAGCCATGCTGGGCCGCCTGGTTTGGACAGACTTGAGCATTAACGAAGAGCACACGCGCCAAGCACGCGTCAAGCACGCGTCAGGCGCGTGCCAGCCACGCACCAGGAGCCCAGATCCGTCGAAGGCGGTGATGGCGGGGGGGACATTGTCGCCGCTGGTTTCGACGGGGATGTCCTCATAAGCGTCGAAGTTGATGCCCGTGTTCTGATGCCCCTCGAACACCGCCTCCGAATCCTTCTTAGTCTGCGACGAAAACGGATCCTCCTCCCGCCCGCCCCCCGACCCGCTAAACCCTCCCAAAGGCCCTCCGCCGCCGCCGCCGCCGCCGCCCCGTCTCCCGCCGCCATAGCCCCCCCGGCCGCCGCCAAACCCGCCTCCGCCACCCCCGCCTTGCCACGCCCCTCCGCCGCCTCCTCCCCCGTATCCTCCGCCACCGCCCCAGCCGCCTCCGCCTGCGGGTGCGCCGTTCCATGCGCCGCCAGCCGGAGGCCCCGCGTACGGCGGCGGACCTGCCGCGCCTGCCTGATCCGCCCACGATCCGCCAGCTCCCGCTGCTGGCGCATTCCATGAGACTACCGGCGCAGGGCCGGGGCCCCCCTGCGGACCCATCCCCGGCATACCCGGTCCAGGCTGCGCGAAATCCCCCCCGCCTCCTCCGCGGCCACGCAAGTGCGGGGGAACGTACGACCCGATCGGCTGACGTAAGATCGGTCCCTGTCCGCGGGGTCCCCCCGGAGCGGAAGGCCCGCCAGGGGGGTGCATGTAGGGCGCAGGGCCCCCTGGCGCGGGCTGTAGGGGGGGATTCATGGGGCCTTCCTCCACCGCATCGCCCCAGCCTTGACCCGCCATACTGGATCGAATAAGAAAATGACACTCGGACCCACCTAAGACGGCCTGATTATAGCGAGTTGTGAACCTTACGGATTTTTAAGATATATTGCAAATTGGAAAGGAAAGCCAGAAATTCGATGCGACAGACAGGATATCTCGAGGCCTTCGAATGTGAAACTCCACGACTCCGCCCCAGGTAAGGCGATACGATACACTGGTTCGGAGATAACGACCGGTTCTAGTGACCTAGGAGGACTAGTGGGACTTAGGGTTGCGATAACCTAGCGTGGATCCTACGAAAGAGAAAAGGACAAATCTAGGTGGTCAGCTAGATAAAATTTGGAGAGCAGGGGGATTGCCTCCTTCCAAGGCGACAGGAACCCTTTCGCGAACAATCGACAACGACAAGCTCTCAAGCTTCGTGTCGTTAGGTGTTGAAGGTGGTAACTGCAGCAGCGAAAAGCTCGTGCTTTCCCAAGATGTAGTCGCACACCCCGGAGAGGGAGGGCTGAGGCCTTGGGATTCCAGACAGAAGTGGCAGAAGGGATAGCAGACGAAGCGTGCAGGATGTGCCTGAAATGTTACAACAGCCCGCGGACCAATTAAGGGTCCCGATTGTTTCTGACGTGGTCGTCCAGGTGGATCGCGAATCCAAGCAATCCAAAACCCCCAGACCTGAGGGTGTCTCAAAGAAGAATCACATTCTGTACATGTAGTGTAACCTGTAATTATAGCATCTCCCATATTTGTCAATATTCGCATCACAAACGAAATCCATGTTTGACACTGCACATGGGCCTTTGTGCAGGCTGCTTTCAGCATCATCCCAAAAATTATTTGAAAGGTCAGAACAAATCAAGTATTGGTATCACCTTCTACTTGGCATTGGCAGTGGAGGAGCCTTGCTAGCTCCATCCCTGCCCCAACCACCCATCCCCTTTTTGTCCAAGTCAGCAAAGGACGTGGGTGGAGCACGGCCTCTTGGCGTCATAGCATAAGCAGGACCAGGAATCAAACATGAGAGACCACCGTTAGCGTCAATACAATGATCATCAGCTCCGTTACACGACCCATTGTCATTGTTAAAGCGGCCTTCGAAGGCCTTCACTGGGACCGCATTCAGCGAGCAGGTTGTAGGGATGTCAGGGGTCACTGTACACTCCTCGGTAGGGCTCAAGTCTTGAACCGTGGAAAGTGTACTCCTGTCGTTAGCATGATTTGCCGAAACCTCAGCTTTAATCAGCACCCTGGGCAATCCTGCATTGCTGCTGCTGCCAGAGCTAGCTCCCGAACCTCCAACTGAGCTGGCACTGGCGAATTTATCCGAGCCTGTTGCCCAGGGCGGTTTAAGCGACAACCTGGCACCACGAGGCGTGGTGAGCAGCTCCTCCCGAGAGACCCCCCCATAGCGACCCACTCCCCTCGCAGGGGCCACACTCCCACTCCCCAGAGTCTCGCCTTCCAGCCCCAGCCCCCCTGCTGAATCCACCTCCTCGCCTCCTGCCCCCAGCGCTGGATACGCCATGCCAGTGACACCCACACTGTGGCTGCTGCTGGGTGCTGCCCCAAGTCTACCCTTTGTCTGTCCTTGCCCCTGTCCCAATCCCTGTCCCAATCGCCCCTTCCCCACCTCCTGCTGCTGTGCCTTGGGCACAGCCCGCACCAGCTCCTGCCCATAGATGCCCATGCCGCCAGGAGGGAAGAATGCAAGCGAGCGAGGGGAGAAGGACGAGGGCGACGGCAGCCCCGGACCTCCTGCCAAGCCTAGTGCTCCGAACCTGTTCTTTGGGTTCCAGCACGGCCATTCCTTTGACCCGAATGCACTTCCTGCCACCCGATCTCCTCCTCCCGAGCCAGGTGCCAAACCTGAGGGATCGTCTTTCCAGGTGGTTTCATCAGAGAGCCAGCCACGGCCCTTGTGTGGCAGCACCTTGGACTTGGCTGAGGGGGAGACGAAGCCCGCTACAGGCCGGGGCGTGCCGCCCGTTAAAGCCTTGTCGAAATATTCAAAATCAGTGTCGTAGTCGGGACGAGGGAGAGCCGTCCAGGGGGGAAGGGAGGCGGTGGGTGAGGGGGAGGATGGGGCAGCGGAGGTTTGGGTGGGGATTGGGATGGGAGTTGGTGTGTCTGTAGGAGCCACTAGAGTGCCAGCGTGAACAGGAGAGGGAGGAGTTCGGGATGCAGGTGGTGCACTGACCGCATCGGCTGCCACTGAACCAGTTTCCCTATCAGGTGCATCAGGTGCTGCATCAGGTGAGTCTGTAGATGATCCTGCTCCTTCTCCAGGGCAAGCAGCAGCAGCGGTAGGAGAAGCAGCAGGAGGGGTCATTGGGGAACTGTCTAGGCCACTGTTACCCTCCCCACTAGCAATGGGAGGCACATTCGGCCCGCCTGTCTTACCAGGCACCACAGGCGATGACACTGCAGTCAGCCGCAGGCACATCACTCCACTGCTGCTCACCGGCACGCCTTCTCCGCCCTCTCCCACAACCCTCTGCTCCCTCTGCTCCCTCTCCCCCCCTGCTGCCCCTGACAGCTTCGCCAGCAGGCGCATTGGAGACAGAGCCCTCATCCCCCGCCCCTCACCCCTCTTCTTCCGACCCCCTGTCCGCCCTCTCTCCGCCCGCCCATCCTCTCCCCCCACCGCCTCCTCCCCTGCTACCCCCCCTTCCCCACTCTCTCGCTCCTCCACACTCCCTTCCTCTCCCTCTCCTCCCTGCCCCCCTCCCCCCTCCTCCACTACCTCACCCCCCCCACGCCCCTCCTCACCTTCCCCCCCTTCCCCACCCCCCTCCCCCTGTGCCAGCTTCCGCCTGCCCCAGTCTGCACCCCCCCCAGCGCGCCCCAGCCCTCTAAGGAACGGCCTGCGCAGGCGGATGTCAGAGGGGTCTAGCAGCCCCCCACACCGCAGCTGCCCTGCTAAGGCTTCCAGCTGCTCCTCTGATAGGCTCTCACTCCTCCTTGTCCGACCCTCTTTGCCTTTGCGTCTACCCGCCCCTCCTCCTCCTTCTCCTCCCCCCCCTCCTGCTGCTTCTGCTCCTGCTGCTGCTCCACTGTCTTCTGAAGAAGTCTCTTCTCCCTTCCGTCCCTTCCCCTCTGCCCCCACCTTTCCATCCTTGCCTCTCTCTTTCCTTCCCGTGCCTTCCCTTTCCACCGCCGCAGCTATCTTCCGAAGCTGCTCCGCTTCCTTGCGGTCCCAGCTTCGGCGCCGGAGCTTCTGCGCGAACCTGTCCACCGCACCGAAGATGGATCCCGAGCCTATTATGGAGGACGAGGTTCGGAAGGCCAAGAAGCCTGGGGATCCGGACGTGGTGGGTTGAGAAGGAGGGTCGGGAGGTACAGGAGAGGCGGGGGTGTGAGTGGGGTTTGGGGTAGAAGCAGCGTGCGGCAGGGAGGGAGCAGGAGGGTGGACAGGTGGTGTTGAGGTGATTGCCTTGGGTGGTGAAAGGGTTGTCGAGTTAGGCTGTAACGGGGCTGCGCTTTTAGAGGTGGAGGAGAGAGTTGAGGGCGAGAGATGAGAGTCGGACGTGTCAGCTGCGTGTGGCGATGGCTCTGCTGCTGCTGCTGGGCTGCTCGCTGAAGCCGAAGCTGATGAGTCGGGCACAGCGGTCACTGCTGCTGCTGGTGTTCCTGGTGCTGTTGCTTCTAGCGTGGTTGGGGCATTTACACTCACTGCTATTACTTCTATTGCTTCTGGCACCGCAGCTGCTGCAGTCACATCAGACCCCTCCTTGCCACTACTCTTTCCTCCAGCATCTAAAAGTTTTGCATCCTGCCCAAGGTACGTCAGCCCCTGCCGAGCCACAACTTTCATCAGCTCAGCATCCGCCCCTGCCCCACCCCCCCCACACACCCTCCCCTCCCGCCCCCCAACCCCTCCCCCACCACCACCCCCATCCCCAAGGGCAGCCAGAAAAACTTCCGTCTCCTGCCCGCCCATCACCAGCACCGGCTCCCCGCCCAAATCTTCATACTTAATGATCTGCTTGGCTGTGGCAAGGCCTTGTTGCGCCATGAGGGGGTGGCAATCTCGCCCCTGCCAGCAGTACAGGGCAGGTCCCACCTGCACCAGAAAGCACCCGCGGGGGTCCAGTGAGGCGCGAGAGAAAGGGACGGTTTTGGGGACCAGGTGGAGGGCATCGTAGGGGGAGTGCGGCGCCATGCGGTACATGTGCTGCCGAACCACGCCGCCCGGCAATGCTGCTGCTGACAGCGGCGGGGATTTGGACGATGGTGGTGGTAACGAAGAGGCTCCTGCTGCTGCTGGTGCTGGCGCTGCAGTGTCTGCTGGTGTTGTTGACACTGCTACATCTGCTAATGCTGGAGTTGCTGCAGGGGGTGGTTTGGGCGGCAGCACTCGCTTCTGCCACTGCAGCAGCTGGCAGGCGAAGCCCATGTTGGGGCTGGCCACGCCCCGCACCGCCTTCACCCGCCGAAACGCCTCCTCGAACTCCATCCTCTGGTCGGGCGGGGGAGAGGGGAGCGGGTTGAGAGGGGAGCGGGTTGAGAGGGAGCGGAGTGAGAGGGTGGGGAGAAGGGAGATGGCGCAATCGCCCATGTTGGGGCTCGCCACGCCCCGCACTGCCTCCACCCGCCGAAACGCCTCCTCGAACTCCATCCTCTGGACGGGTGCGGTGAGGTGGGGGGGAACGGGGTGAGAGGGAGAGGGGCGATTGTACACAGGGACATGGGGGGTGGTGGGAGAGAGTGAAGTCAAGCAAGAGGAGCGTGGGGCGGGGTAGGGAGGGGCGGAAGGGCGTTCTGGAGGAGGGGAATGTGCGGGGAGAGGGAAAGGAGGTGGGAGTTGGGGGGCCAGCAAGTGGACGTGGGAAGGGGGGGGGGAGGGGGGAGGGAGGGGCATTGGATACTTGGGATGACAAGCCAACAGAACGAGGGCGGAAGGAGGGATGGCGATGGGACGGCCGCGGGTTGCGATTTCATGGCGTGCCAAACGTAGCCAAGCATCGGGCAAATGACAGTTGGATTTTCAGGAAACTAAACAACGCCTCAAAAACGGAATCCTAGCCAAGCGCCTGGAGAATACTCGTTTAGAAAGAACTCGTTACGAGGTTCTTGCCCTCCTTACCTGCGACCACATGAGGTGGGCAATAACGAGGGAGGGACGTGGAGCAAGTAAGACTAGCTAACATTTAACTCATCAATAGTTCTCTTGCTCGTCCTGCCTGCGCCCACATGAGATAGGCGATACCGAGGGAGGGACGTGGAGCAAGTGATACTCGTTAACAGATAACTCGTCATGAGGTTCTTCCCCCTTACCTGCGTCCACATGAGGTAGGCGATCACGAGCGACGTGGAGCGCGAGACGCCCTGGCAGCAGTGCACGAACACACGCCCGCCGCTCTCCCGCACACCCTCGATGTAGTCAAACACGTCGTACAGCACACACGTTATGTCCTCCGCTGTATTGTCCTGCGGGGAAAGGCGGGGGGGGGGGGGTTGGGGGGCGGGAGGGGGAGACGGAGACGGGTGCAAGGATGAACAGCGTTGGCCGCCCTCGCCCCCTCGATGTAATCAGGGGCGTCGCATGGCACGCAGGTTATGTCCTGCTAACTCTCTCCCCTCACTTGCAGCCAAAGCGTGCTACTAACTCTCTCCCCTCACCTGCAGCCACAGCGTCTTGTAGACGATATCCCCGGGGAAGTACTCCGGGCACACGAACCCCACGCAGTTGAGCACACATGCCAACCAAACAGAGCTTTCAACTCACCTGCTCCTCACTCTCTTCCCTCACCTGCACCTCACTCTCTTCCCTCACCTGCACCTCACTCTCTCCCCTCACTTGCAGCCAAAGCGTGCTACTAACTCTCTTCCCTCACCTGCAGCCAGAGCGTCTTGTAGACGATATCCCCGGGGAAGTACTCTGGGCACACGAACCCCACACAATTAAGCACGTGCGTGATGCCCGCCTCCCCTAGAATCTCCCTGCTGCGCGCCACAAAGTCGCTCCCCACGAACACATGCTCCAGCACGCGGCTGCAGTCCTTTTCGAAGAACGCGAACTTCTCCTTCCGCGCGCGCACTTCCATCGCTTCCGAGTTGAAATCCCGCTCCGTGCGCGCGCGCAACGCACCCAGGTCTAGCCGGATTTCGCCCAATCCGAGCCTCGCGCGGCTCAGGCTCGGCGAGCCTTTCCGAACCGCCGGGCCAGCTCCGGACGTGGCCAGACGGCCTGAGGCGCCTCGGCCAGTTTCGCCGGTTTCGCTGGATTTCTCGCTTTCGTCGGTAGGGCTAAATAGGAGCCCATTTCTGGGTGGACAAATTATGCTTATGCCGGTGTCTAAATCGGCTTCGTCTGACATCACTATTAAGGCGGGTCCCGGGACGACAGGAGGAGGTATCTGAGGCAGGGACATGTGAAAGTCCCTACCGCTGCTGGTACCTATCGACGCGGTCCGGCGGATAGTAGGCGGGCTTATGATTGGCTCGAGGGATATTGGGTCGCGTCGCTCGCCTAGCTCTATAGCAGGTGGCGGCAGCAGGTCGCCGCTATTCGCGACTCCGGCAGGACGAATGGACGGGGGGTAATGGTCTTGCCGAGCCTGACGGAGGCTCGGGACCCCCTGAAGGAGGCTCGGAGGAGCAGCACCGCCGATGCACGCTGAAGACTCCATGGCGAGTGATTCTAACGCGAACTCCTCCAACCTCAGAGAGGAGCTGAGTTGGTTATTAAGGATTCTTAAAAACCAGCTGAAGACTCCATAGCGAGTATTCTAACGAAAACTTCTCCAGGCTGCGAGAGGAGCTCGGTGGTGTGGAACGGTACGGTACGGTAGCGTCAGACACTCCAGGCCGGCAAGAGTGAGTCCATCGCGAAGATGCTTCTGGATGACGTGGACGGAATTAGTGACAGTGTCAATTTCAGGCTTAGATTAATGTCAGGCTTGGATGTCAGTGTCAGTGCTAGATTAATCCGAATCATCGCAAGGGTTAGGCTCGAGTGAGTTCTATGCGTTAGCTAGTGGGTGCAGGCAGGCTCTGGGTCCATACGTGCAAACAAGAGAGATAGCGCAAGAGGAGGGGAAGAGTGCAGACATGGGAAAAAGACTGACAAGGAGAAACCGAGAACCTGGAACTAAGAATGAGAATGGATGTACTGTACTGTAAAGAGTGACTGCTGAACGAACAGCTGAGTCCTGACATTTTCGAGGTGAGCTGTTGACCTAGAGTCTGCCGCCATCGCTCAAGGTGCTCCGCGGAGTCTTCCCCCCCAGACCCGGGGGCTGGGGCAACAGCACAAAGAACCACCAAGTTGGTGCGGAAAGCGCACAGTACGCGCACTGCTCACCACCTTGCGCGGATGCTTTGCTGTGGCGGGCCGGTTTTGTCCGCCGGTTGATGCTTTGCTCGCCGGTTTTGTCCGCTGACCTGATTGGACCAGCGGACAAAACCGGCGAAGCGGAGGTTGGTTTTGCGGGGGAACTGACTCTTCTTCACTCACCCGCGGGTCAGGCGCAGCGCAGAGGTTGAGTATGTTTGGGTGTGCGCAGAGACGACGAGGAGGTTGACCTTGACTTCACGCGGACCAGCAGGCGCACGGAACGGACTCCGCCTGCCACGAGGGCACACCACCATAAAGTCGTCACCTGGTTTGTTATGAGTGGGAATGGAACAGCCACTCAATAATGGGAATAGAACCCAGGAAAAATAATGTCTACAAGTGACGAGCGAACTGGCTAAAATAGGGCACGGACGTGCTAGGACGAGCTAGGGCGAGGACCTCGGGACGTGAATGGTTTGGTTGGGTGTCGAGGGTGTCGGAACGCGACTCGGGGAGGTTTGGGCCGACAATAATGGCCGAACCTGCGAGTTCCAGGTCTTCGGGTGTACGCGCTGTAGTTCAGCGCAGTAAGGAATGTTAATTCCTTACATGGTTCCGCGAAACGTAACATATTCTGCAGGCGAAGTTGTTTGTTGTGATACAGCATAAAGCAACTACAATAAAGGACTTTGATTTAGGCGCTTTCTCCAACATAAAGCATTACAAAATGTATTTTCCTAGTTTTCCTCTGGGGATAGGACGTCCACGAAGGTGCAAACAGCTGTACAATCATATATCTGTTAGAATAATAGAATAAATAGAAAGCAGAGAGAATAAGGGAGGTATAGGGTTTGGATTATACTATCTAAGAACACACATCTATTCTAGCCTATCACTACTACCGTATTTCCCCGGATAAAACACCCAGGGGTGTAAGTGAAAACCCATGTAAAATTTCGAGGGGGTATAATTAATGGCACATTTTGTATAACGCCCGGGGGCTATGGAATGACAATTTTATGTTTATGAAGTGGAATTGAACTGTATTGTAGACAGTTCTTTTGTGCCATTTTTTTACGATCCTTGCACATGATCGCGTATATGGTGAGGAGGACCATCGTTATGCCACAATGCAGGCAAACAATCACAAGTTGCCTGCGTCACATGTTGTCACGTACTATCAGATCGTGGTGGCAAGTGGCAACCTCGACGCCACAATGTGACAGCGCACCAAAGCCGGAAGGAATCTGCTGCACATTCCTTTCACGACCCAACCAGGGCCGACCGACATGGATTCTCCCGCGGTGCAGTGTTGACTGTGAGGAGTGTGTTCCCGTGAGCCTCGTATCAGACTCGCAACATTCGCATGAGTGACGAGAATTCCAAGCATGGTAACAGTTTTACACCGCATTGAACCAATTCGCGTCGAGCTCGCACTGATCAGTGACGTGCAAGTCTGATAAGAGACACTCTGATAAGAGGCAAAATCTAAAGAAATACAGTGAAAACGAACCAGGGGGGTGGTGTATAGGTTTTATGCCAAAAACTAAGGTGGTATGAATATCCAGTTTAATAAAGCACCCAGGTCCGCCCAAACCACCTATGGGTGATTAATTCCGGCGGGTGTTTTATCCGGGGGAATACGGTACATACAAATGTATGTATAAGTTGACACAACCCCTAGGCTAGATAAGGGGCAGTGCTGAGCAAGAAGCACACAGCTCAGGATGGCACTACTTGTCCAACCTCTGAGACAGGGGTCAGAAGACCAGTCAGCAAGAGTACAAACAAGATAAGAGAAACCAAGGCGGCACTACTAGTCCGACCACTGGAAGAGAAGCCACAAGGCCAGTCTGAAAGACATAAATATAAAGGAGTACACAATCAAGATCCTAGGAAGTGAGAATCTACTGAAACTAGACCAGCTGTACACAGTGCCGCTGATGATCTTTAGGCGCAAGCGCCTTAGTAAAGATATCAACAGTGGTGGAACCGGAGGCCAAGTGTACTACGCAGGCCTGGCGGCGCTGCTGTAGCTCATTCAGGAAGAAGTACCGCAGCTAGATGTGCTTCGCTCTGCCCTCAAGTCGAGGCTTCTGACACAAGAGGATCATGGTCATGTTGTCAGCGTGCAGGACAGAGGCAGAGCTAGGCCGCTCCCCTAAGTCGGTGAAAAAGAAGGCCAGCCAGCGGAGCTCCTGTGCCGCCATGGCACCGACGTAGATCTCAGCCTCACATCAAGACTGAGCACCTGAACGAAGGCTAAAACGGTAGCCCTAGGAGGACCTGAGGGTCTCAGCGTCGTCTGCCCAGGAAGCGTCTGTGTGCCCAGTAAGGACCACTGGCCTACGTCCTCCCAGCACTTACCTCATGCCCGATGTACTTGCTAGATAACGCAAAACCCTCTTAGCAGCCGACCGATGCTATGGTCAGTGTCTACCTGTGGCCACAAAGCGAGCTAGGATGCTGAGAGGGTACGCGAGATCTAGACGAGTGCAAGTCATCAGGTACATGAGGCAACCCACCAGCTCTACATAAGGACCACTGGGCTCTACTGACCAGGCCTGATTTTATCAGAATATTTTAGTATGATTGTCTGAAATTTCAGACCTATTTTTTTGTCGATCCTGATTTTTCAGACTTGCCAATTTCTGAATGCTGAACCCTTCAGAGTTATATGTTTTTTAATCCTGAGAATCTCAGACTTGGCAGTTTGTGGATACTGAGTTTTCATTGCACAGCGCGTACGGTCCCTGAGACAGACATACCTACCTGCCCTCACCCAAAATTTTCGTCCAAATCCCCTACAGCCAGAGGCAAGTCCTTTCACACACCCCGCCCCGCAACCTATAAAATCTGGCTAAGTCTTTGCAGCCAGAGACAGTCCCCCCCAGCACAACCAGCAGCCCATAGAAATCGCTGTAGTCCTGTTCAAGAGACACCCCTCTAACACCCCCAACACCCACAAAAATTGGCTAAGTCTTCCATTTTTAAAGACATTCTCCCCGCATCCCCTTTCCCCTGATTTTTTTTGTCGTCCTCTGAGCGGGTGGCACAAGTCCCTCAACAACCAATCACAGACTTACAATGACCCATCACAGACAAACTCCTTGCTGGTGTACTGTACACGCATTGTCCTTCGACATGCTTCACTGTACCCGGAGCAGGTGTGAGGCTGTGATTGGCCGTCAGACCAAAATCACGCAAAAGTCCGAGGTACTGTACCTAGGAGCAATTATGAGGAGCGTGACTGGTCCTTAGACCAAGTACTGTATCACGCTGGTTGCCCGAGGAAGGCTAGAGCAGGCGTGCGCGAGGGACGTGATTCGTCGTTAGCACAAACTGCACGGATACAGGAAGTTGGTGGGGTTTCGGCAGTTCCTGAGAACACAACTTTTCCTTCGATTACGCGGGGAACTGCAGCCATCGTCACTGATAAAGCACGTTTCAAAACCCAGGCCTGATTCGTCAGCTTTACGGAAAATTCAGCCTGAAATTTCAGGCAATCAAATAAAAACTACCCTAACAAAAATGGGTTCTCATAAGGGTAGGCCTGAGCAATCAGCCTCCATAAAACGTATCTGAGACCCTGGTGTGAACTCTGCAAATACAAGATTCGACTGGGGCGCAGGACTCTGAGTCGACATTCTGAACCCTGAGTATTTCAGACTCGTTAAATCTTGGACACTGAGATTTCAGGGTAGAGAAATCTTGAAAAATGACCCTTCAGACTCGGGAAAATTTTTGCGGGGCAAAATCAGAGTGCCTTTTTTTTAAACGTCAGCCCTGCTACAGACTCCCCAGGAACTGGAGCTCAGACCCTGTGATCTACTGGAAGAGGTGTGGGCTGAGCGGAGGAGAACAGAAAATCAAACCTCTAAAGGACCTGCGAGAGAGTGATGGTGCGCGCTGCTCTGTCCCTGGAGATCTGCAGGCCAAGGTAGCGGCGCAGCTCTCCTGGGTCAGTGCAGGTGTGTCTCCTCAGCAGCTTGGCCTTCACGAAGGCCAGCGTGTCACCGTCTACAGTGGTGAAGACCAGGTTGTCTATGTAGACACGAATGTAGAACGGAGTCTGGCCAGCACGAACGAAGAGCGAGGGGTCTGCAGAGGACGAAAAGAACTGCAGGTCAGCTAGCGTAGCGCGCAGCGTGTCATGCCACTTACGGGGCGCCTGTCGCAGGCCGTAGACTGGGCGCCAAAGGAGCCACTGGGTTCTAGGAGGGAAAGTACCAGTAAAGCCCTTAGGACGGCGCAGGTAGACCTCTTCGTGTAGGCTGCCCTGAAGAAATGCAATGGAGAGGTCGAGGGAGTGTAACTCGTAGTCACGCCGTGCTGCTATGTATAGCAGCACCCGAAGAATAGTCATCTTCGGGGTCGGGGCGAAGGTCTGAAAGAAATCCACCCCCTCTCGCTGACTGAAGCCTCTAGCCACGTAGCGCACCTTGAACACTGGCGGCTCTCCAGGAGGGCGCTTCACCTTGAAGAGCCACCGGCCATGGACTACGTTCACCCCAGGTGTGGGAACTGCGTCGACGTAGGTGCCGGTGGATCTCCAAGATGCCATCTCCTGCTCCATAACAGCTATCCACTGAGAGGCCCAGGGTTCCGAGGTCGCCTCAGCGTAAGTGCGAGGGGTCGGGATGTCAAAGGCGTCTCGGTCACCCTCAGGGACTAGCAGCTTGGAGCAGAGATGGGGAGCAGCCTCAGACAGGAAAGCAAGCTTGTACTATCGGTCCTCTAGAACGTCAATGCCAAGGGCAGGTGCACCCCCAACGGACGGAGGACAGACAGGGTCAGAGAC